CAGAGTCAGAACTAAACCAGCTGAAGCTTCATTTCAGCTCCAGGCTCCTAAAACCTGGATCAGTCTTCCAGAAAATGTGAAAATGAAAATGTGTGTAAATCCAGATGAAAACGCTTCTGTTGAAGGTATTTTATCTGCACCCTTCACTTTTCATCTGTCTAATTTTTATTACTTTTCTTGTTTTTCTGCTTTTAAATTCTCTGTGAAGCACTTTGAGTTGTCTCGTACACGAAATGTGCAGTAAAATAAACTTGCCATTTTCTGTTAATAAACGTATAATAATCTAAAATGAGGGAATTTGAAGCAAAACCTCAAACCTCAATCATTTGGAGGTGGACTTGAAGGCAGTTTATGCTAATTTCCGCTTGATCGTTGACGTTTTACGAAGCTTAAAGTCAGAAAAAAAAAGTAGAATACGATCAAACAATCTTTTCTTCATTTTTCTTCATTTAAAGGATGTCAGAAACACATCACCTGTAAAATCTGCCCCGGGGTGAGGAGGTGAGGGGCAGTGTGCTTATTGTGGGTAAAGAGCTTAGCAGAGTGCTCTGCAGAGAGCCGGGACTTTTTGGAGCAGGTGTCTGGGGATGAGCCGCCCGGCAGAAGCTTAAATTGGCGCCTCCTGAAGTCTCAACCACAGAAGTGGCTCGTCATTTTTATCCCGAGAACAAAACCTGTTGGAGACCCCGGAGGTCTCAGCGTCAGGCTCCAATAATCTTACCCATAGTGAAACAGAAAGTTGGCAACAAGGCCGTTCTGGTTCTGTTGTGTTGTCTGTTCAGATTACAGAAGGAGTTTTTTATTTTTTAAGATCTAATCAGCAGCTTTGAAACATGTGGGAACATATCAGAAACTTGTTTTTGTTTTGTAAACTACATTTTCAGACCTATAAAAACTACAAATGTGAGTCGTCTCCATCCAATTTGTTGAAGTATCAACAGAGAACATGACACAGTTTAAAAAATGTGCCGCTTGTTGAATACAAATAACACAATATAATGCATTTAAAATGTCTACGGGAGCGTTTTTTCCGGTCCATCCCTCAGAACCGCCAGTGGGTTCAATCAGGGATCTTTGGGACAGGAAGAGTAGGTCTTTAGTTTGTGTTCATTTTTCCAAAATGGCCGACACCCCTGTTGTCGTTGTCCAGGGAGGGGACGCAGTAAGTGGAATCTACCACGGCCAAACAAAGGAGTGGTGCAGTTTGTTCCCACTGTGTTGGCCCCCCGCTGAGGT